GGCGTCACGCCCCCCACAGACATGAATGCAGAATTTCCAGATAAACTGGGGCCTTTCCTGGTGCGGGGACACCTTTCCTGGCCTCGGACAGAGGTGCTTCGATGATCCCATGTTTCCCACGGGCTGGAGGTGCAGAGACAGCCTCCCAGGGACCCTGGGCTTCCACGGGGCAGCTGCTGCAGGTCGGTGCTCCCACCACCAGGGGCGTCCTTGGCAGGAGAGGACCAGGGGCTGAGAGGAAGATTTGAGGTGACTGCACCTCTCTAGAGAGACCGGGCAGAACTCGGAGGGCTCTGAGGAGAGAGGGGAAGGAGGCCGGGTGAGTCTCCCAGGCCATCTGAGTGAGCTGTGCCTTCTGGGTCACGAGCTGCCCTCTGCCCCCCAGGAAGGAGGAGGAGCCCCTGCATCCTGATGGGGCCAGACGCCCACCCGGAGCCACCACAGGAGGACGTGTACATGTGCCCTCCCCACAGAGGCTGCACGCAGGGGCCCGCCCTGCTCACGACGTGTGACTATGGAAGAGGTCGGACTCCTCCAGCTGCCCCCGCTGAGTCCTCAGGTCCCTGAGTTCACGTGTGAGGATGGACATGGGCCAGGGAGAAGGTCTCTTGCGGCCCTCAGGACAGAGCAGAGTAGCGTCCCCACAGCTGAAGCCGGACGAGCCTGGGATGCCGGCCCGCAAGGGACACACACATGGGCACCTCGGGACAGCTCGTAAGTGAGGCCCCAGGACAGGCCACTGGACCAGCTCTCCAGCTGTCCGGGTGAGTGTCCATCAGCAGCAAACAGGACAGGGGTGGCCACAGGGCCATCTTCTGTGCGTCCTCCCTCTCTCCATTTTGGTTGTTGTTGTTTTGTGTTGAGGAGACAGAAGTCATTTGAAAGGTTTTTCCCTCCACTGCTATTTACTTGTTTATGCGTTAGTTTGTTTAGTGTTGCTAAGCTCAAGACTTGGAATCAAGGGCTCCTTGCTTTGGTAAAGCCATTCCCCTTACCGTCAGTACTTGGGAGCCCGGACTGTGAGGCACGGGTGTCCCCGAGTCCCCTGGAACCCAGGCTGTGTTGGGGACCCCGTGTTGGCACCTCCGAGGATTTAGTACAAGGGACAGCTCAGCTTGTTTCCACTGTGTTGCTAAAATGAATTAATAAAGTGGGATCATGAGGTCATAGGTGTCTCCCTTTCTAGCCCCTGCCTCCAGAACCTTCTAAACTTGCCATCATGTGATTCCTTGCAATTTTCAGTATTCTGTGAAATACCGTGGTTTCATTTTCTCAGAAACTATAAAAGCACAAGCCACAGCTGTAGTAAACATGGAAGAAGACCACGACCTTTCTTTCACAGCAGAAATGAGGCCGGAAATCATTCATATCAAATCTTTAGAAGAAATAAACATGTGAGAAATTAGCCCCATGCCCAGGCACTTCCCTTTACCCCTGCTGGAGGGGACGGCAGTTTGAGCACAGCTGTCTCTGGGGACTAGGGAGCAGAGAGACTCCATCTTGCAGGGCCCACAGGGGCCGAGGTCCCTGCAAAGGGAGAACAGATGTGGCCACGGTGGTGGTGGAGGTGGGGGCCCTGGATCTGAGCAGAGTGTCCGCAAGCAGTGTCCGGACAGCCACAGGGGACACGCTGGCCCTCACCGGGGTGGGGGGGAATATTCTCAAAGGCCCATCTGCTGTACAGGTTGGGGGCAGTGGTCAATGACTGCATGATTCAACCACTAGCACTTGCTGAGGCTGAGGACATGGGGGTGGGTCACATTGCTTTTTGCCCAGAACTCTTTAATCAACTCATGTCCTTTCTTTTTAAAAAACTGTGACCCAGGGGCGCATGGGTGGTACAGTCAGTTAAGGGTCTGACTCTTGGTTTTCAGCTCAGGTCGTGATCTCAAGGTCGTGGGATCAAGTCCTGTGTTGGGCTCCGAGCTCAAAGCAGGGTCTACTTGGGGATCTCTCTTCCTCTCCCTCTGCCCCACCCACACCTCAAATAAATATTTAAATCTTAAAACACACACAAACACAATCATGGGACCCAGAACATCATTGGGAAAGGCAATATTGGACATTTCCAGCTGGGTGCTGGGGATGCAGCTGGAGGCAGGGCGCGACACAGTCTTTAAGGGCTCTAGAGGGCCAGGCTGGGGGCATGGGAACAGATCAAGTCTGAGTCCTAACTTGAATCTTTTGTCTCCGTAAAGCAGTGTGACTCAGGACAGCACTGGGTGTTCTGAATGCACAAGTCCTCCCTGACAAAGCAGACAGAAAAGCCTTTCCTAGTCCGCGAACCGTGGGGAAGGGTCCGGCTGGACGTGTGTGTACAGAGCCTTTGACAACCACAGGGAGCTGTTCAAATCTGACGACCTCTTCTCTGTCTCAGGTTCGGTGGGGGAGAGGACTTTTAGGGCTGCTCTGTGCCTTTTTTATTTTTTTTTTCTATTAAAGATTTTATTCATTTGACAGAGAGAGATCACAAGTAGGTAGAGAGACAGGCTAGCCGCTGAGCAGAAAGCCTGATGAGAGGCTCGATCCCAGGACCCTGAGACCATGACCTGAGCCGAAGGCAGAGGCTTAACCCACTGAGCCACCCAGGTGCCCCCACTCTGTGCTTTGAGACCCGCGCCCCTGAGTGTCAGGGAGATTGCTTTTCAACGGGTGGGAAGACAGCTAGGGGCAAGGGCCCGGTGTCTGAAGGCGGTGGGGGCCACGTGCGCAGCTTCCCCCCCACCCTGCTAGGACAGCACAGTCTCTCCCCTGCCTCGCTGGGGAGCAGGGAAACCCCCCTCCTCTGAGCAGGTACAGCTCCCAAATTCATACCACCCTTTCCTTCCCTCCGCCTGTCCTCCTCCTCACCTGCGATTGATGTGAGTGAAATCCTGGGCTCACTTTTCTCCCCTCCTTCCCCCATCTTTCTCTGTCTGGATTACCTCTCCCCCTCCCCCCATCCCTCCAGGTGGGAGGGGATCAGGCTCTCCTCTGCAGCAGAGTCTCTGGTCGGGGAGGACATCTTGTATCCCACAAGGTACAACACCCTCCATCCTTCTCAGTCTTCTCTCTCTCAGGAGCAGGACATTTCTGCTCAGACCCCTCCCAGATCAGCATGAGTTCCAGGACTAGAAACAGAGAGACCCAGACCACAAGGACCATCCCCCAACCTCTGCCCTCTGACCTGTCCACATCTTGGAGGAATAGGGTAGAGGAGGAGATAAGGAAAAGGTGGGCTTCCTGCTGCCTCCACGAGCACGTGCCCACTATGGCCGCATCACTGTGGACCTGTGTTTCCATCCCTGAGCACTTTCTTCCTGGACTCTCCTCCTCTGCGTTGCAGTTGGCTCAACCTCCCAGAGTGGGGGCTTCTGGAAGCAGCTGGTGTGCATGGTATTTCCTTTGGCAGAGAGTCTGGGAAGACACCCCCAAACCGAAGAACCTGCACTACAAGTTGAGTCCAGTCTTAGCACGTCTTAGCACGTCTCTGAGTGTAGGCGGAGGTCACAAGAAAGTTCCTACCCCCTCCCCGTATTCCCACAGACCCATCACACAGCCTTGCTTAGCAGAAAATACAGGACCAAGGCTAGCACGGCACACTGGGGGGCCTTACTGAACTACATTCAGTGGAGGTAGCACAAAGACCTAAAAAACCAGGAGGGGGCTCAAACTTGTCTGAATTGAATGTAAATTTACTTACACATGCTTGGGAGGGCTCTCTGGAAGTTTCCTCGGGGTAGGAAGTGAAGGGGGGGGTAGGTACGGATTTGTGGGTACTATAGCCTGGTGTCCCAGAAATACCTCATGGCTCCTTCTCTTGAAGTCATCCATGATCTGTCACCCACCACCACCTACCCGGATGCTAGTCACTCCATCTGTGTTTTGGGGGATTCTCCCTCCTCTCATGTCTGTGGGGAACAGTGTCTAAGAAGGTCGTGAGCGTTCGCCTGAACTTAGAGCAGAAATATCTGTCTTTGCTGGAGCTCCTGGTCCCTGTTTTGGATTCACGCCTGGGGCCTCCCTGGTTCCCGCCGAGTCTGAAATCCATGGAGATTGACAGGCCACCTCTCTGAGGGGACCGTGTCCCTGTGAGGTCACCCGCTCATTCAGGGGCTGTCAGAACAGAGTGGGGAGAAGTGATCCCATTCTCCCTCAGGGCCCAAGGTACTCCCTCCTCTCCCCACCATCCAGGTCATGCTGCCAAGGGCTTCAGGCCTCCAGATAGACCAGCAAGTGGGGGAGGCTGTTCTCAAACAACTTCTGTTTGTTGCCAAAACATGCTCTCTGCAGGCATGCATCAAATGGACCAGAAACTTCCTGGAAGAAAATGGGAGCTCGGTTCAGAAGGGGAGAAGGGAAGACAAAAAGAGTTGAGTAGGTCAGCTAGGAATCCTGCCATGAAATGGTTTGTGTCCTTAGGTTCAATGTTGTACAAAAGGAAAAGAGGTTGTAGGGAAGCCTTCTAAAGTAACAGCAATGAGTTGGCAAAATCCCCCACTTTTCTCCCATCTTCTGTTTGGAGCAGAGGGGCTGGGCAGAGCCCCTGGGTGGGAAGGAGACCCCTGGCCTTGTGGGAACTCCTGGGACCAGTGCTGTGTGGCCTTTGGAACATACTAAAAGTCTGTGTGGGGACTGGAGGAAAAGCTTACCATCTTCGAGCGTCATTTGGCATCTCTAGGTCATCTCCCACCCTGTGAGCCTGTGGAGAGTGTCTTCCCCGGTGCAGCTGCCCCCACCTCAGCCCCTGCACTTCCTGCCACCACCACACACAGGTCATGGAGCCGCTCTTCTCATTCTTTAAGAACTCCCCACTCATTTCGCTAATCATAAATATTTTACATTACAGAGCCCCTTCGCCCCAATACACTGTTATGGAGGAAAAAAGTTTCTATACTCTTTGAGAGTCTTACAGGTGTTCTAAGAAGTAAATTGACAGGAGACAGATTATCAGAGGAAAAAATCAAATTACATTTACTGATGTGCATATGAGGAATTCACAATAAGCATGAGTTTCCAAGGACAGTTAGGCAAAAGAATGTATTTATGTTATCCTAAACTAAGGAGAAGGGGTAGGGGTCTGGGACTTCAAAGGGAAGGAAAGCAATTCAAAGTAAGATGGAGAAGAGTAAGGGAGTGATGGAGGCACAAAGAGAGAAAGGGAGGACACAGGAATCTGAGGAAAACAGCACCAAAGGCGATGGGAAGCAGAAAGCCTTGATCTGGCGGGTGAAGCTGTGGAGATGTCAACACCCAGAGCTGAGGAGTCAACTTCAGGGCTTCCACAGTGCTGGGACAAGGTGCCCCCATTCTTTGAGGTGACAGGAGCACAGAAAAGGGCTAAATGAATAACTGAGCAGGACAAAGAAGGGTCATTTACATTATCACCGTGGGATTCAAAACCGATTTAAGCCCTGGGTCTCAAGAAAGGCGAGAGGTCCCCAAGGTGTTGGTAACCATACGGGAAAATGTCACCTGGAGAGGAAGACAAAAAAAGACGATCTTTGATTCGTGGCCTCCAAGATCAAGTGTTTCCCACATTTGAGGTAAACAATACATTTTTGTTGAAAGAATGAGTGATTCAGTCAGTGGGAAAAAACACCCCATGGTCCTGAGGAGTCAGGTTGCCAGGTAAGAAGGGACAGCAGCCACGCTGCACTGACAGAGGGGGCCCCTAGTGGGCCATCTTCCCCCAACCCCTCACCTTGCCCCCACCAAGGCCTCCGCTTCCCAAAAGCGCTACCACAAACAAGCTCCCCTGGAATTTTCTCAGTCCCTCCCACCCCGATTCTGCATGGAGACCCCTCCACAAGCCCTTTTTCTCCTGGTAACTCTGTCGGTCCAGTCAAGGGCCGGTGGCAGTCCAGCACCCGATCCAGGACATTTGTGCAGTTTTTTCTTTTCCCAACGGATTTCACAGACCTTTAGTCACTATCATATGTGAGCTTAGACGACATTGAAATATTGCCACCCTGATTTCAGCCTCAGCTCCCGCAATGCAAATACTAATTTTGCAAACAGTGCCAGAACCCAGGTCTGGGATAGCTTTCCCAGTGCTTAAGGATGGAGTATGCAAGAAGAGCCAAGCCCTGTAAGGAAACTCCAGATTTTAAGTCCAGGAAGCTGGTTATAGAGCTATGGTGAAAATTACCTAAGAACACCACCCTCGGGGTGCCTGGGTGGCTCAGTGGATTAAGCTGCTGCCTTGGGCTCAGGTCATGATCTCAGGGTCCTGAGATCGAGCCCCGCATCGGGCTTTCTGCTCAGCAGGGAGCCTGCTTCCTCCTCTCTCTCTCTGCCTGCCTCTCTGCCTACTTGTGACCTCTCTTTCTCTGTCAAATAAATAAATAAAATCTTTAAAAGATTTCAGCAGGGAGCCTGCTTCCCCCCTCTCTCTCTGCCTGCCTCTCTGCCTACTTGTGATCTCTGTCAAATAAGTAAATAAAATCGTAAAAAAAAAAAAAAAAAAAAGAAAAGAAACCACCCTCAGGGAAACCCATGACCCATTCTGGCCATGACCCCTTTCGAAATTTTTCAGGAAAAAACCCTTCCTGAACTCTCTGCTTTTGACCTCAGGGCTCCTGAGAGCTGCCCCCCTCAAGATCAGGTAAGGGTCACCTATCTCAGGACACACCTACCTTCATCATCTCTGCCTCAGAGCACTCCCCTGCCTCTCCAAAGTCGGGATGGTCCTTTGCTCTTCACGGAAAACCTCACCTTCGTTGATAACCACTTGGGTGTTGAAAGACATGTTGGCACTGAATCTCGTAGTCTGGAAATGTGCTAGAATTGGATAGTGAAAACAGGCATAATGAGGCTCTCCACACCCTGCCTTCCCACAGGTCAGGAGGGCGCACACCCTCTGGGCCACTGGCAGCCCCGACAATGGCAGGCCCGATGAGGTGGCTGAAAACGGGATTTCTGGGGGCTTGGCTCATACCTGGGAGCGCTGACAGGAACCCCCTCTCTTCCCAGGGACGGAATGTAGTGCCCGGGGAAGGTCGGGTCCTACCCTGGAGCTCCAACAGCCCCACTCATAGGGCCCCATGGCCATCTTCCCAATCCTTCCTGAGAAGCAGCCCACACGGCCTTCACCACCCATAAAACTTTCTCTGCTCCTTTTCAACTCAAATTTAGAGCTCTCGGCAAGAAGGCCCGAGGAGCGGGGAGAGGGTCAGGGATCCGAACTGAGGTGGGAAGGAGGTGAAATAAAATTGGGAAGGGGGGAGGAAGAAGAGAGGGAAGAGCAGGGACAAAAGCGGAGGAGGCAAAGCAAAGGGCAGGCAGAGAGGGAGGAAACACAGGGGGGGAGGGGGAGGAGGCTGTGATCACCTCCGTGGTTAAGGTTAGACCCTTGTGCCTGGCTCTTCACCTCGCGTCCCCGCCCCGTGGCCCACCATTTCCCACCTCACCTGAACTCCCTCCCCTAGGTCTGGGGTGATGCCCGTAATGCTGTTCGAAGCATCTTCCTTGCCAGAAGACGTACACGGCCGCCGCCACCACCACCACCAGCAGCGTTGGGAACAACGGTCCCATTTTGCATGCAGGCCCAGGCAGCAGAAGAACGCAGGGCAGAGCCACAGGTCCGAGCACGGGGCGCTCCAACAGCAGCTGGGAGGAGCCCCAGTGGGAGCCGAGGCAGAAGCCTGCACGTCTTCCCCCACCGAGTGACCCGACCGGAGTCCCAGAGCTCCTGCCGGCCCTCGCAGGGGCGGGGCACGCGCCACGTGATTTCTCTTAGACCAGTTTCCTGACCGTGCTGGGAGCCCAGAATGAAATCGCCTGATTTCTCGGAAAGGGATGGTTAGAAACGGGCGTAAAGCCACACACCCTTTTGAGAAAAGGGCAAGTCTAAGGATGGGGCGAGCCACTGAAACTTCCCCACTGCAGGGCCGCGGCACTCGCTTCCGCAGCCCCAGCCCGCAGGCAGCCCTCCGCCTGGAAGCCGCACCCCGGGCTCCACTTTAGCCGGGGACATTCTCTGCAGGTTCCTGGCACCACCATAAACACCCCTGTTTGCCACAGAGCCGCTGTCTGCCTCTGGCTCTCTCTCGCTTCTCAATCCCTTGTCCCAGGGGTTAACCTAACAGGTTTATCTTCCAGGCAGGCTGAAGACTAGAGATTCGGGTTTGTGTATATGCTGAGGAATGTAATTTAAAAACACTGAACTGGAAGGACCCCGGGCTGGCTGCGGTGGAGGGGAGTGGGGAGAGCGGTGGGTGGGAGGTGGAGTAAGCAACGCTTGACCTTGGAGTTGTGAGTTCAAGCCCATGTGGGGTGTAGCGATTGCTTAAAAATTTTTAAAAAAGCAAAACAAAACTCTGATCTGGAAAAAAGAAAAGTTTTGCAGCTTGGGCTTCAGGCTCCTCTGTGCCCCCCTCCCAGGCACACCCCAGAAATTTGGGGCCACCCTTACCCTAATGCAGACCTCAAGAATGAATGGATCTGCTCCCCTCCTGCATTAACCTTCTCTCCCAGCTTAAGAACAGGAAGCCCACTGAAATGGAGAGATTACTCCATAGGCGAATATATTCCCCAGCCCACCTCTCAAGTCTGTAGAGGCTGAGGCAACTACGTCCTCCCAAAATAGCATATGACATTGACAGAGAACTTGCTACTGCCAGACATACAGTTGAATACTGCAACAATATTGTTGACAGAGCAGAAGGCAAGCTGAGGACAGAGCACAGGCTGACACCACAGGAGTGATCTGATCTGTGTCTCACATTCCTCAGGCATCCCCGCTGCCCTAAAGCCAAGGGAAGGAAAGACAAATGGTTAACGTAGAGAGATTAGACTCCTGCGGGACAGGGGTTTCCCTCAGTTTACAAATGTCTTAGTGATTCACAGGAAAAAAGCATTCTTATCAACCACGGAACTTTCAGAAGGAAACTCCCAACTCTCTTAAGGTTAATGCTTTGCTAGAGGGAAAAACAACCTTAACTTGACCGTGGCAAGGCCTCTCCTATTTTGTAGGTCCTCTTTAGCATAAGAAAGCTCATTTGAAAACCTCCCTTTTCCCTTACCTCCCCCAACCCAACAGTATATCATCAGCCACCCCTCACAGCCCTGGTCTTCCTGCTCATGGGTCCCGTCCCTGTGCTTTAATAAAACCACCGTTTTGCACCAAAGACGTCTCGAGAATTCTTTCTTGGCCATTGGCTTTGGACTCCGCCCCACCAAATTTCACCTATTAAAAACCGCATCATGGGATGCCTGGGTGGCTCAGTGGGTTAATCGTCTGTCTTCGGCTGGGGTCATGATCTCAGGGTCCTAGGATCGAGCCCCACATGGGGTTTTCTACTCGGCGGGGAGCATGCTTCCCTCTCCCTATCTCTGCCTGCCTCTCTGCCTACTTGTGATCTCTCTCTGTCAAATAAATAAATAAAATCTTTTTAAAAAATAAAAAAATAAAATAAAATAAAAACCACATCATTTAGCGTCCAGTGTGGGTCTTTGAATCTTTATATCTGGACCTAGGGCTTTGGTTAAAACTTGGTGAGTACTTTCCTTCTCGTCCTTTACTCTCATTTCAGGAGCTTGTCAGGGAGTGCGGTCTTAATGGAACACTTTTATGCCTGCTGCTCAGGCTGCAATCCTCTAGCCCATGGCTACTCTACCGGAAGGAGAAGCCTGCCTTTTGGCTGGAAGTTAGTGCCCTGCCCGGGGTGGTAATAAGACCCAGAAACTTGGTGCCATCTCTTTACTCCTGTCCTTAGGCAAAGTCCTCTGTCATGGGCACGGGACAGCTGCCAATTTTAAGACTCCTTTGTGAGGTTTCCTCCTCATTGGTCTAATGTGATCCCCTTCGCATCACTGGTCTAGCCGCTTCTGGCTGCAAGACCTCCGTGCGGACCTGGCTGAAAACAGCACCCGACTGAACTTCACCCCAACCCGGGACCATTTCCTAGGGACATTGGCTATGAGGATGACATGTGTTGGAATGTTGCTTAGATCATGATGGATTTCTCTTTGTACTGCTTTCCATCAGTGTCCTCTACTAACTACTTAAGTCACAAAACTGGGTACTTCCCTCTTATAAAATGTCTCTAGTGTAGTCCATGGGTTTAAAAAAGTAGATTTTAAGTGGCCTTCACAGCAAAGCAAGCCAAAGTGCATGTGGTCTTCACAGCGGGGCCTTCAGCAGGGCAAGCCAAGGCACATTGTGACCTTCACGGGGAGACTTCGGAAGGACAGGCCAAGGGGCAGTTGGCCTTCACCTTGGGGCCTTCATGTCAAGGGAAGCCAAGGTGCACGTAGCCTTCACAGCAAGGCAAACTCAGCCCATACACGGCATCCATTGCAGTCTAGAATGAGATGGGGAAGTAGGGGGAGGGCAGGTCTCTCTCCTACAGGGCCTTTATGGCAGACAGTGGTCACAGAGATTTCATGTGAGGGACACTTCAAGTCACTATGACTCCAGGAACCTCTGACATACCCTGCATGTGGGATGCCACCCGGGAGTCAGGACGGGAGGACTGGTTTTCTTGGTAATGGACGTTCTCTATTCAGCCCCCAAGGACTCTCCCCTGGGATGCCTTTTCTCCCACTGGAAACAAATTTAAAAAAGGTACTGCATGACTTCAGTAGGATCTATCAGATCTCTTCTGCGGGAAACAGGGCAAATGCATGTAGGGTACCTTCATTGCTCGTACCTGGGCCTTCACTGGTCTACACCCGGACCTGAGGGCCTCTTGCAGAATGTGTTTGCCCCAATGTGTCAGCTAGTAAACTCCCTCCTGACATGTCAGATGATAATTACCTAAATGTTGTCTTTAAACTTATCAGCATTAAGTGTGAAACTTTTATTCTATCAAGGTTTGCTGAAAGTCAAATAAGCTCGTGTTACATCTGTTGCAATTTGTTAGCAAAAAGATGACTTAAATGATTGTTAATTGTCTCAAAGTTTTCGTAGGTAATTATTAAGACAGTTTTGCTGGGATTCATAAAAGAGACTTTTAGAACAAATACAGGTATTTAATATCTTTAAGATCCTAAAACGGAAATTGGTAAGAATTTCCAGAACTAACTAAACTGAGGATGATTATAGTTTAAGACTCTTGTCTAAAACATTGCTGGTTCTCTAATATTTGCTTTTCCAGACTAAGGATACTTTCTCTTAAAACATCAGTGATATACAGAAATAATAAGACAATTATTCCTCTGTGAACAAACTGAAGCCTTTAACTTTTCTCTCTACCTGAACCCTCGAAATTCAGGAGGTCTCAGTGAGTGGTCTTTCTTCCATTGCAATTACGGTCATTAGCGTAAGTTCCATAAGAATCTGTTCTCCTTGCTAACAGGACGCCATTGGAAACATTGGTGATTTTACCAAGGCTTTGACTAGAAGGTCATATTTGAGAGAGACGAGCATAGATTCAGATATGGCCAGACAGCTTAAAGGAACTAAGGTTGACTTTATGAAACCCAGAGCCATAAAGGCCCTTGGAACTGTGGGCCTGATACCTTGCTTACAGAGTTCCCAGCAGCCTCACCAAGTGAGTAAAGAGTGTCACTTCCTGGCAGGTGCAGGAACCTCAGGATACTTCGGGGACCTCAAGAAAGAAATCCACCCAATCTAACTAGTGGTTCAGGCATGTCTGGCAAGCACTTGGCTTGGCTTCTGGCCTGGAGAGGCTACCAAAAGTTCAACCTAGAGGTTCTTTGTAAATAGTTCCAGCAAAGCAGATTCTGAAACAGCTATATGGTCAAGAGCTATTCCTGCTGAGCTTATGTAAATAATTAGGCCAACTTTGTTAAAATTAGACTTGTTTTATAAATAAATTAGTCCTGATTTGGCTATCTCTGATTAAAAATGAGGGTTACTATAGAGAGAAAATATTTCAATAACACATATTTGTAGTTACCAGATTTTAAACATTGAGACTCAAGAAAACTGGAATGAGGATTTGCCCCAAAACAGC